CTTTGCAATGGAGTTTTTACTGTGGGTGGATATACCAAACAATTTCTCCATTGCTGATCCTCTTATCTGTCACTTGGGACACCCAAAGGATGGCAGTAAATAACTCTGGGGGTAGCTGGGCCTGCCCAGAGTGCCAGGGCAAAGTGCCAGGGGAGGCACAGCAGATTTGAGAGTGTTGTTTACCCCGAGAAATCCTTTGTGGGAAGGGATGGAGTTAGCTGAGGGTGAAGCCTGGGAAGGAATGCTCTGCTGGATCACAGAGTGGGAAAATGCTAACGCCAGTTTGATGTACCCAAAGTGTAAAGTGCACTCCTGCAGCAGTGAGTTTCCCTTGGAGAACTCGCATCAGATCTTGACCAGGTCTGACCTCTCTCTTCAGCTTGTAAACAAGATGACAACTGCAGGCAATACACACACACACATAAAATAATAAAACAAACTAGGTCAGATGCTGCTTTGACAGAAATCCCTGACATTTGGCTTCACAGAAACTGGGAGAATAATGATGAAGAGAATCCTGAAAACTTTGTTTCGAGCCTGATGGGAGAAGAGAAGCAGTTTGGCTTGAGCATGGAGAGCACCTGTCTGTTCTGACCTCTCCTTTAGGATGCCCAGCTGGTTCCTTCCTTGAATGCAGCTGTGAAACTCTACATTGGCACTGAGGGAAAAGGCAAAAAGGTGAGACAAGGCAAAAAAAGGTGTGAAGATCTGTAGCTCCATACTGTGCTTTTATGCTGACATCTCCAGAGTTGCCCCTTGCAGATCTGTTCACTGCAGATCCAAACTCTCATACAGAATAATTTGCCCTCAAGGCTTCACAATTCAACATTCCCGATGAAGAATTTTAACACAGGATTTTTTTAGACAGTGTTCAGATAAATTTATCAGAGGAACAGACTGTTTCACAATATTTGGGTCACAGGAGAGCTGTGAGAGAGATTCTCTGGGTTTTCTGTGCAGGAAATGAGTGGTGAGGAGGAAGTAGCTGTAAAATGCTCATTGGTTTTGTACACTGTGAATTTAATGGATGTGAAAACTAGAACACCTTCATGAGAGAATACAGGCCTGGAAACTTGTTAGTGCCAGCCCTTAACATCTCAGATTAATACAGGATTGGGGATTTTAATACTCCACAGTGGGTGCTTAAAGCCATTTAAGGTCCAGGACTAAAATGAGAATTATTTTGCCAACTGCAGACAAAAATGTCTGAAGCATCAGTATTCACTAGGACTGCAGTTTACCCCTAGAATATACTACTGAGTGGAAATAATGTTTTAAGGATATTTATAGACACTGTTTACTTTTTATGCCACTGAGACATTCTGTCAGGTCAGTATCTGTTACTGTGTGTTTACTTCCAGCATCTCCACACACATGGAATATGAAAGTTCACTGGAAAACAACACACTGCAAATGGATTCTGGCTTCTGGCTGGCTGGATATTCTGCTGCTAGTGAATGGACACATCCTAATTCTTTATTCATTGAATATTAATGGAAGGGCAATGACTGGACCTGTGACTTAACCTGCTCCCACAGAGGAGCCTGACAGCTGTGTTAGCTCTCTGACCATCACCACACACACACCAGGAGGAGAGATGGATGCACACACAGCAATCCAGTGACTGACCCGTGAAACAAAACAGTCTGAAGAGAGATGAGATCTGATCCTTGCAGGAAAAGGGTTACATTGCTGGTCCAAATGCAGTCCCAAGGCCAAGGTCCATGCCAGGAGTGCCACAGCAAGCAGGGGCTGGCACACAGGGAGGATGCATCCAGGCCCCTCCTTACCTTCCACCCAAATCCACACATTCCCATTGATTTGAGAAACTGCATCTTGAACTTGCTGTGTCCTGCATTTTCTGGTGGAACAGCTTTCATAAAGTCTTAAGAACAGTGGGTAGTGCAGACCCAATGCTCATTGTCTGGAAGGACAGAGCCCCAGGAAGTCCATGGCAGGACCAGAGATGTGACATATCCTATGATATCAGGAAAATTACAGCATCAACTAGAGAGGCAGCAAAACAGGTTAGAGGAAGGCCAGAAGGTCTGGCTCATTAGCTGGGAAACTGTTGCCTCACACTGACCTTCAGTCTGTCTAGTTCTGGCAAACTTTCTGCAAAATATCTCCAGGGTAGACCAATTCCTTTCTGAAAGCCTTTGTCTACCTTATTATCCTGGCTCCTGATTACTATAATGTCTTTCCTATTGTCCTGACAGCTCAGCTGACCCTGGTGTCAATGAAGGATGCTGCTGCATAGTCTGCTTTTCATCAGCAGCTTTCTTTTACCATCCCTCTACTGTATTTTTCCCCTCCTTCTTTTACATATGAGACTTTTACCTTCACTTTTAAGGCTTTTGATGGCTTGTCCTCTTCCTCTCTCTCATTCCTTACAGAAACCACTCTGATCAGCCAGCAATGCCAGTCTCCATCATTTAATTGCTACTTTTGCACTCTTGATTTCTGCTTTGCTGCCTTTCATAGTTTTGTCTGGGCAGCACCACATCTGCACAGGCAATTCACTCACATCCTCCTGCATATTCTCCCTTTAGGCTGTGGTAGCACAAACCTGGCTAACAATTAGATTGCTGGTGCTCCATGTATCAAGCTGATCTCATCTCAGGGTGTTCCTGCACTGCTCTCTCTGCTTGCAGCTGCCATTTCTTCCCTTGGAATAGAATAGTATTTGGGGTAGAGACCATCAGTCTGCCCTGTATTTATGTGGTCTCTAATGAAACAAAATTCTGCTTCATTATTTGGCTTGTAGGAGCTATATTAATTAATAGCTCACATGTGAAATGAGTGGGCTGGACGTGATGGAAAATCAGATGATATAGATAATTGCACACTACCACCAGACACAGCAACAACTCACTTGGGTTGCTCATGCTGTGCCAGGGTGAATCTGTACAACAGTAGTCACATCTTCATGGAATCGCAGAATGGTTTGGGTTGGAAGGGACTTTTAAAGGGCATAGTTCCATCTCCCCTGCCCTGAGCAGGGACACCTCCCACCAGCCCAGATTGCTCCAAGCCCCATCCAATCTGGCCTGGAACACTCCCAGGGATGGAGCAGCCACAACTTCTCTGGGCAACCTGTGCCAGAGCCTCAACACCTCACAGGGAAGGATTTCTTCCTAACATCTAGCCTAAACCTGCCCTCCTTCCACTTAAGTCCATTCCCTCTCATCCTGTCACTCCATGCCCTTTTCCAAAGTCCCTTTCCAGCTCTCTTTAGGCACTAGAAGAAGTGCTCCAGCCCTGTGATCAACTTAGTGACCTCCTCTGAACTTCTCCAGTTCCTGGAAAAAGACACAGTTCTTTGTAACATTCATTCTATCATTTTTGAGAAGAACCACAACATCAACAGCAACTGTGCAGTTATCCAAAACACATAAATACTCATTTCTCAGTTTTTCACACAGTTTCAATTTTAAGAGCAGCAAACTTTTCGCACAAGAAAATTTACGGGGAAATGAATGTGCTGATCATTTAACCCTTTTTTTTTGCCTCTTTTTCTAGCACAGAAAAAGTTGGACTTGTGTCCATGGCAGAGCACATTGCGCCATCTGCTGCTCCTGGGGAGCACCAGGCTCATGGGCAGAGCCCAAAATTGTGCCCATCCCTCCCTGGGCTATTTTAGACCCAGAGAAGAATGCACTCCACATAGCAGGCAGATCCAGGGAAGGATTAAACCAGAGGCCATAAAGTTCACTCCAGCACTGCAGTGTGTCGGGAAGGGAAAAGCCACTGGTGAGCAAGAAGTGCCTGTGACAAATGGAAAAATCATCAGATGTACATACAGAAAATGAAGTCAATTTTTGTCTCCCCTGTTGATTTAGCACTGGTACTTTGCCCTCTGGCACGGTGTATTTGGTAAATATTTTGAGCAGGACATTTGGAGCATTTTCTTTCTCAGAAGAATAGCATGTTCCCAATTGTTGAATGTTGTGGCTAAAATTTTTGTTTTAAATGCAAACAGAGGAATTTTATCGAACCAAAATAAACAAACTGTTGAAGATCCCAGCAGTAAGAGCTCGCCATCACCTAGCTTCTCTCAGAGCTTCAAATGTCCCTCACTCCCCCTCACAGGCTGTGAGTCAGCAGGGGAGGAGGATACTTAGATTAGAAACACCAAAGTGTGGAACAATGATTACACAAATGTTATTTTGGTTGCACTTCGGATGCTCCTGCAGTTAAAAATCTGATAAATTAGGAGAACTGCAGTGATCAGAACCTCAGATGATATCTGTCAAGTTCTGACTTGATGACCCCCAACTCATAGTGCCAAAACAAGGTTCTGTACCACTCCAAAATAGATTTCAGTTTGACCCTCCCATCACAAATAAGCACAGCCTGGAATCATCATTGCAGCCTTCCAGCAGTGCTGGCATTGAGCACTGTCTGTGCTGCTTCTGCTTATCTGTTCATTGGAAGATGCTCATTGAAGACAGGAATTGGATCAAACAGACCCTCAAAGCCTCAACTTTCAGCCCAGATCATCACCTAGTGTAAACTGGCGTGGGGTCAGTACATCACTGGGGGTTTGTGGCCATGCCAATGTCACACCAATATGGATCATTTTGCCCTAGAAAGATTTTGTTACAACACTCAGGAGTCTCTGGTACATAGAAATACACACACTTGAGTGATAAACATGAGCTTCTTACTGAGTTCTATTATTCACTCCAGTATCACGTTCCAAATATCCTCTAAAGATGCTGAGGAGATAATACTGCTTTTCCCAACACCCCTGGCCCCAAACAGGAGATGCTCTACAAGAACCAAGCTGTTTGCAGCAGAGATCACAGTCTGAATTCCTGCATTATGCACCAATGCAACATGTGATGGTTATTTCAGCCTTTATTACAAGCAACACAAGGAACCCTTTATCTTTTGTTTACTGGGATGGGAATAAAGACACAGAGTTAATGTGTAACCATCCTTTTGTGGATGGCTCCATTTTTAAGGGAAGGGACAGTGTCCCCAGGGTCACTCGGGCCGTTGGGGACTGGCAGAGATGAACCCCCTGGCACTGCTCGTGGGCATTGTGGCTCTGAGCCACTCTGCTCTCGCCTCCAAAGGTAAGTGCCTTCCACTTCCTATGGGCACCACCATCCTGACGTGGGACTGAGGGAAGCTGAGGAAACTACAGGACTCTAAAGCCTTTAGATAGTTCTGGTCAAGTGTTTCGAAAAGGGATTTTCTATGCAAGAGGTTTCTGCTCTTTTCCCTTTCCATTCTTTCCTCTGTCTCTTCCTACAGTGAGGTG